GTGTCACACCGCACAGTAATCACCATCACACACACACAGTGTCACACTGCTCTGTAATCACCATCACACACAGTGTCACACAGCCCTGTAAACACCATCACACACACAGTGTCACACCGCACTGTAATCACCATCTCATACACACAGTATCACATATTTGCTCTACTGTGTGTGGAATTCCACATTCCCATTGACCCCTGCCTAACACAAATCTATCTCAAAACTTTCCTCACTCCCATAATTTCTGAGGCAGTGTTACAGAGGCACACAACTCTCTTAGAGAGGAAAAAAAACCATCTGGCCTCAAGAAGTGAAAAGGTCTAATTTTAAAACAGTGTCCTTTCATTCTGAACTGACCTCCAAGAGGGAATGTGTTTCCCATGACCACCTTGTTAAGACTAGTCCGGATCTCATACACTTCAATCAAGACCCACCCTCACTCTTCTAAACTCCAATGGAAACAAGCTCAATCTCAACCTATCCTCTATAGAAAATCCACTCATTTCATGTGTCAATCTGGTAAACCTACTGCTAAGTGCCTCCAATACATTTAAATCCTTCCTTAAATATTGACCAAAACTGTACACAGTATACGAGGTGTGCTGTTAAATGGCCAGTGTAACCGAAGCAGAACATTCTGAATTTTATTTTGAATTCCTCTTGTAATAAAGGGTAGAGTTTCATTAGCCTTCTTGATTACATGCTGTACCTGCACACTCATTTTTTGTGATCTCATCAGAATAGCTATTATCCCCTGAGAGGGAAGGCCCTAAGGCAGTCACTCTTGAACCTGACAAGTGACCTGTCTAACTCAGATTACCCTTGAAGGGTAAGGTTTCTCAAAAGCTTGAGATAGGTGAAACTAGCTGTTTCTAGCACTGGCGAGATCATTGGTATTTGCCACTTACAGGACTCTGCTGTCAAACAAAAAAACACGTTCTGTCTATCACATAAATGAGTAATGTAGAATATAAATTTCAGTACTGGTGTGATGCCAAGTATGTAGGTAAACATCCTAATGACCAGCAGCTGGATTAAACAGCATGGCTCTTTGGTTAAAAACCGAAAGAACCGTGGATGCTGTAAATCAGGAACAAAAACAGAAGTTGCCGGAAAAGCTCAGCAGGTCTGGCAGCATCTGTGAAGAAAAAATCAGAGTTAACATTTCGGGTCCAGTGACCCTTCCTCAGCACTGGGCTCTTTGGTTGTCCACAATGAGCTAGATATTGACCAAACACAACCATTCCAAGCTTGCAAAGCCTGGAACATTTCTAACATTAGATGCCACCTGCGACTGGGCACATTTGCTGTACAATGCTAAATGCATGAGGAATTACACTGACAAACAATTTAGCATTGTCAATTGAGCTGCAATGTGGCACACTGCATGTACTGGAAGCTCCATCTAGTGATACACAGGGCCTTTATTTTGCTGATACGTACATGCACTGTTCCTGTCTCAATATAGGTGAATATTGAATAGGTGACAACTATTCACTTACTCATTTCTCAGGACAGTGCCCTGGCCAAATGAGTCAACCTACCTGGTAAAAGATTTGAACAAAGCCTGATAGTTACCTGTCAATCAGTATTAATGGATGCATTATCGTGGGCCGAAGGGCCTGTACTGTACTGTACTGTTCTATGTTCTTAATCCCACCTCACCTGCTGTGTGGTATAAAGTGCGTTAATTTAATGAGTTTTTTTACATGAACTATAATCATGTCTTCTGTCAACCTGTACCAATCAGACCACTTGCCATGTAATTCGCACAGCTTCTCAATTATAAATGTTTCTTTCTCTTGAATTGGTATGCTTGCAAAATGTCCTGATGAGTGCAAGATGTAAAGTTTCAACAAAACATGTCACTTTTCAGCAATACTCAAATTCGGTACTGGCAAACGACTACTTGTATCTCTTTATTTCAGCAGCAACACCACATTATGTTACACTGTAGTGCTTCCAACAAGTATAATGTGTATGTGCCACAAATCATTTAGACTTCCCAGAGGCAAGATTTCCTTTTTGCTCTGTCCAGACATGAACAAGATCTTCAAACAGTTTATCAGGCAGTGAATTGGTTGCAGGATAGTTGTTGACCACCCACCATAATTACCCCTGCCCTTGAAATGAAAATTGCAGCTTGTTCCTGAGATGTCTGAGGATTGACACACCATCAAGGTTGCAGAACAAAGCATTAATACATTTACCAAGAGCCTATTCTGTTCTAAATTACCAAGTGCCATGGATTTAGTGTGATTGGTTTACATAATACTTACTGAGAAACCAAGGGAAAGGCCCTGGTTTAATGGCTCTGGATGAACTGCCTCATCTGAGAGCCAGAACTGACACAATCGGCAGAATGGCCTTCTTCAGTATTGTATTCATTCCCTGTTTCTGTAGAAAATCACCAAGTTTGGAAAGAGAATTGAAGAAGACAAGGTGGACAGAGGGAAGAGGAGAACAAATAACTTCTGTGAAGATTTAATGAGAACTGATCAATGGTAGAATCTGCAAGTCAATATCTAAGATGTTTAGAGATCCACCATCTATTCTGCGAATAGCATTTAGTATCTTAAGGGTTATGACTATTTTCATTCGAAAGAAAAACATCTGATCAAAAGCTTTTAGCAATTTGTGAAACCATTTGGCAGCATCTGGGAGGCTAAAAATGTGGCAAAAACAGAAAATAACCAGTAATTACTACAGCAAGGAAACTATTCCAAGCTACTATTTTCTGAGCAGAAAATGTAAACAATTTCTGCTTTCTGAACTCTACAATCGTCCTAATATAAAAATTTCCCAAAGCTGCAATTACACAGTGAGCCTCATTAAGTAAATGCAATGAACTGCCCCTGGAGGCCAAGCAGATAAAGAAAGCTCCAGTTCCCAGCTGGATCCAAACAGACTGCTCACTGGCCTTCTGCCCAGAATTCTGTGCAGTAACCATCAAAAAGCAACTTCTAGCTTTAGTGATACTAGTTAAACTAAGTTCAGTCAAGTTTTTCACTGTAAATTTTAGAAACATGGAAAGTTTATGACATAGATGGAGGTCATTTGGCCCATCCTATCTATGCACAAAAAGAGAATCTCACCTCATCTTAACTTTCCTGCTTATTGCCTATAATCTTGTGAGTAGATCGAAGTATTTTTAAAATGTGACAGTGGTTTCTACCTATTCCAGCCTTTCAGGCAGTCAGTTCCAGATTCCAAGCACAGTGTGGATGAAATACATTCGCCCCCAACTCCCCTCAAATCCTTCTATCAATTATTTCACATCAATCCTACCTTCCTGGTCATTGACCTCTCAGCCACCCTATTTAGGTCCTTTGTAATTTTATGTACCTCAATTAAATCTCTGCTCAGCCTTCTCTCTTCCAAAGGAAACAAGCTCAGTCTTAATACTGAAGAGTTAGGAAGACAGAGCACGAGTGCAGAGGTGCTGACAGCGTGCTAACGTCACTGGATTAGTAATTCAGAAACCCAGGCTAATGTTCTGGGGACTTGGGTTCAAATCCCACAACAACAGATAGAGAAATAAAAGCCTAGAATAAAAATATTGACTTAACGGTGACCATGAAATCACTGCCAATTGTTATAAAGCCCTTTCAGGCATTTGTGAACTTGGAGGAAATCTGTCCTGGTCTGACCTACATGTGATTCCAGACCCACAGTTATGTACTTCAGTCTTCACTGCCCTCTGG